TAACAGCAGCAGTAAGACTGGAAAGAACAAAATAGGCATAAGAGATAGCTGGAGGAGTAAAGGGGCTGTGACCAAATATTATGGGATGGTGTAGTAAAATGTAAGGTTACTTTTAGGTTTCTGCCAGGTGGATGGATGAGAACACCACTGAATGAGATAGACAATAAAGAAACAGAAAATGAGATTTTGCGAGAAAGATGATGGATTTTGTTTTAGACGCTGAGAGGAAATGCCTCTGGCCTTTTTTCCCACTTCAGGATACAAATCAGAAGTTTTCATGTCTCTTTCATCCTTTCATCTCCTGGTCTGTGACAGTTTCTCAATCTTGCCTTGTTTTCCATGACCTTGAAAATATTGGTCAGGTATTTTGTAGAATGGCCTTCGATTTGGTTTTCTCTGATTTTTTTTGGAAGGTGGAACTGGGTTTTAGGGAGGAACTCCAGGCCCGTCTCGCCCTGTTCCTACGTAGAGGGCATGCGCCATCAACATGAACCGTCAGTGATGGTCACGGGTCACCTGAGTGATGTGGTGCCCTCCGGGCATTTGTATTTATCCCTTTCCGGAACACAGTTTACGCAGACAGCAGAGGACCCTGAAAGATACCTCTCAGAGCGCTTCCACGGCTCCTCCTGCAACTCTGTCCGTCAGCTCTTACTGAGTGGATGAGTCCTTAGTCTCATCACATAGTCAGTCTTAAATTTGCTTTTCAAGTGAAGAACAACAGATATTTAGTATGAACAAAAAGCCAAACTATTTGTTCATTACAAAGCAATAAAGTATACCTGACCCCAATGCTGCTAATTAGTAGATAAAAGTAAGTGTTCTAAAACTCACAGTATTTGCAGATGTATAAACATAATGTATCTACCTGAGAAATGCTACGTAATGGCTAAATACATTATGCAGTCTTCCTTAACCAGAGTCCTACTCTTCAGAGAACTAGGTGAGAACTCTAATTCAGATACCTAGAAACATAGAAGCTGTTGTAATACATATATATCACAATCCAATAGTTGCTCAGGTTATAAAAAGAATAAAAAAGAATATAATATGTAATAATACATTATACACACATTACAGTATGCATATACAATGTATTATATACAATATAATATACAATATATTATATTATAATCTTTATGTAGTATTTAATTTGTAGTCATTAATTTGTGTGTGTGTGTATAACATTTAGGTATCTGCTCTCTCATTCACAGAGTGCTTACTCAGGATCCTGTATCATCAGATTAAAAAATTGCTTTAAAAAATAACACAGTATAAGGGGGCTAAAACTAATATGAGTTTAAATTTACACTATACACAGTTTGAAATTAATGATGACTTTTCTGCCTAAATTTTGTCTAATATTAAAGTCTGTGTTTAAAATATCAGAAACTGAAGTAACTGATTCTACTGCGTATAATACCAGGAAATATGCCAAACTGTATTTTAGGAGGTCTGTTATCCTTAGAGTCTTACAGTCTAGATTCATGTCTGCAATAGCTTTTAATATTTCCTACTGAATTCCAAGGTTTAGATCTCAAGTGTGTATCACAGGATCAGAAGAAACGTGCTCACTGAAGATGCAGTCATATCAGATGGTGTCCTGAAAATGTATTATTCAGGACTCAGTTACAATAAACAATGTGGTAACACAAAAGCAAAGCATTAAAGTCACATGTGTCAGGAAACCCTTTTGCAGAAGAATAAAAACTGAGGGTAAGCAGGTTTAAAATAGATAAATGAGGTCATCCAGATAAATTTATTGTTAATTAATCTCATGTTCTAGATTGTTAACTCCTTTAGCATAAGAACAGTCTAATCCAAATTCTACAAAGTTCTAATGTCACACAGTATTGGTTCCTTAACATATTAAATACTGCTTTAATTCAATTAATTGATATTATAATTAATATTTTAAAGTATATGGTATAAAATAAGATCTTATTGTCAAATTTGGGTAATGTAATTACAAATTCATATTTATAGATAAGTGAAAAAACCAAAATGTATGATAATTTGACAGGATTTATTATGTGCAGTATAAAGGGTTTTTCTATATAGTTCATGTGTGTTTAAGGAAGAAATTTTTAAAAGCTCTCATGATGATCTTACTTGAGGGTAGGAGAATGTGTGGAGGATAAATCTTTTGTTATTTTTTTTTTCCTAATGTTTCTTTTCTCTGGCTATTACCCAGGATTAATAAAATGTTGTACTTCCAGGTTAAAGGTCAAGTCAGGTGGAAGCTCACATATATTCCATTTTGTAAGATTTTAATATTTTACCACCTTACTCAGTCGGAATGAGCACCTCCTTGGAAGGTTTTCACTGTGAGCAATGTAGCTTTCAGTTTACCCAACTATGCGTTCCAAAACACCAAGCTAAACACACCATTCTCAAGACTCTTCAAACTCACTAAAAATTCACTATGGACGTGAATCCACCCTCTGTGCACTGTGATGCTCCTCCTTGAACACTCTTCTCCTTTTTGCCGTCTAACTCCTATTTGTTTGTTAAGTCTCAGGCTTCTCTGAAAAGTCTTTCCCACAATTGTGTTGTGTTCTCCTTTCCTGTGCATTCCCATAGTGCTAAACCCAGACAATCGCAGAGCCTCTTATATACAAAGAGCTGTGAACAGTGAAAAACATGGACCTGATACCAGCTTCATGGGCTGTACAGTCAAGCAGGGAAGAAAGGCTTCAAGCAAATGGAAAGAATTAACAAGATATTAAAAGTGTTCAAAGTGCCTTCAAGGAGAGAAGAGTGGGTACAGAAATGGCGAGTAACAGAATCTAACCTAGAGGGATCTGAAGGGAAGTCCTCCGATGGACACCAGATCTACTCTGTCATGGGGTCTAGCAAAGACAGGAAACATTTGAAAAATGTTCAAAAATGTGCAAAACAGAGGGGGGCAAGATGTGCAGATACACCGTAAGGCTGGGAAGAACAGAGAATAGGGAAAATGCTAGGAACAAGAGAAAAGTGGTGGAAGGAGAGGCTGGCAATGTGCTGCCATGCAGGCACACCATTCTGTTCCCCCCAGAATGAACCCGCTGCTGGGCTGTGGGCAGGGCAGGCGGCCATCACGGCTCAGCAGCACTGCTTGCCAGCAGGGCCATGCTCTTCCCTGGCGGTCTCTAGCCCATGATGGAGCAGTGCAGGAGTAGGAAAGTCTGGCGCTTTCTGCCCAAGGCTGGAGTCCTTTAGCAGGTAGTCCTGCCTCAGGCTTCCTACTGGCTTGGCCAGCACTCCGTCAAATTTGTTTTGTGGATCACATACACCTGGTTACCCTCTCCCCAAGTTTGATGCTCTCTCTGGATTTTTGGCCTTGTTGAGTTTGAGATATGATTATTTGTTCTGAGAGCCAGTGACTAATTACTGTATTATAGGTACAATCAATTTGACACAACAAATGAGACTCATATAATTGCATTCCTAGCTTTCAATAGTTTCAGTGGAGGTGCTCGGAAAACTGAAACACAGCTGTGAAGATTTACTATTTTTTTCCTAGAAAAGAACTCAGAAAAGAAACTCAACACCAGCTATGTCTGGATAAAGCAGATAACTCTCAATGGGCTGTGTTCTGTTTTCATGAAACAAGTATTTAATTATAGCAATTTATTGCAGGAAATAGCACAATACATTTGGTTCAAGCTACAATAGAGATGAGAAATGTTCACTCAATTACTTTTGTTGAATTTGCACAATGAGCTACTTGGCAATTTTGATAGTTAACAAGGCTTTTCTGTAGAAGAAGACAAGGATCTACTACCTCAACACGGTAAAGATATGCTAGAATAAGTCTTCAATAACTCATGAGGGCATGTGTATTAGTTGTGTAGTTTGACTATATGAGACACGTGGATTGATCCTAATTCCTGCTCTGTTCCAAGACAATCAGCATATAATCTCATCCTCCTTTGCCAAAACCAAGAGTGGCCTAATGGAGAAGTCTCAGGACTTAAGTTTGATGACGGTAGGAAGTAATGTCCCTGTCATCGTCATGCCCGCAGATATGAATGGACAAAAAGTTGCTCCAGGTCACCTTTGGCGACAATCAGGGAAGCCAGACTAAAGACGAAGCCTACACAGCAGAACCAAGACAATCAAGGGTCAGAGTAAGATCTGACTGAGCTGTGTCTGAGCACTGCCCCATCTCACTTGATTGCTGAGGTCACACTGAAGTGCATCTCTTGTTATTTGTACTACCATCAGTGTTCTAATGTACAATGTACCTTCCTAGCTTTCTTCATTTAAGATTACACATGTGGTCGTGCATTTCAGCTGATCTGCTTGTTTCTGCCAGAAAAATAATGGTCAATGATCATTCAATGCTTTAGCTTTAATTTTGTTAATCTTCACTAAGCCTAGACTTAAAAAGTTTTGCCTATCATGTCATCAAGTATCAAAAAATATTGTAGGATATAATACAGACTTGTGTATTAGCTAATTAATGTGTTTAAACACTTGGCTACTAGGTGAAATTCATTACTGAGTACCTTAGAGTCCACAGCTATTAAGAAGCACACTCCCCTCTGATTAAAAAAAGTTGATAGTATTTCATTTGTTGCATAAGAGTTTGCAGTAATCTCCCATAGGCCAAATCTAGGCTATTTCATTGTTTTATCAATACAATATTTAAACGCAAAAAGAAAACTCATATGACTGTGCATGGCAAAAACCAACTAGAATGAAAAGTAGCTACTCACTCTAGGCGCAGAACAAGCTGCCAGTTTTGATTACTTTATACGAGGTTCACTTCACCTATTTTGGGACCTCACCATTGTCAGCTATCTGATCTGTGACCTCTGATTTAAGTGCACACATGGTAATGTTTTGTCAGTTAAGTACAGAATAATTCAATATAATGGATAAGCCTGACAAGGAACCCCAAAAAATTGGCAAAATATAAATAATAATTTCAGAGGGGTAAAAATTTTAAACAGACCTTTTTACATCCTTGGTAATAAGACTCTTAATCGTCAAACAGGTACATATCTTACCTGTAGGTGTTTTTCTTGTATCTTCTTTTGAAGCACTTCAAGGCACTTGGTGAAGTCGGTATAGTTTTGATCAGGAGTTGAAATAATCTCACATCCCTATGTGTATAAAATAAGAGAAAAGGTAAGAATAGGTGGTGATGGGAGCCTTATTATGAACAAGATCAAGAACAAAAAAAGTAAAGATAAGCTATCAACAGACATATCCTATTATGGCTGTATTATTCCCTGATCATTGAACTATTATCATTATATTTCACATAACAGGACATTTCCAGAATGGTGTTAGATTATCACAATAATGGTCTGATTATGACAATCATTATACCCAAGAAAAGTACAGGTCATACTATATTAACTGCTTTTAAAAATCACTGCTGTGATGACATTCGAGATTAACATAAGGACTCTGGTACAAGTATTATAAAATATATTCACAGTGAAATAACCTGAAATTAAGATGGAACTATTTTTTAAAAACTTTGAGTTTCTTTAAGAAGATCTCCTAAGTTTACTTACACAAATGAAAAAACTAATATTAATGTTGAACTAATGATAACATCACATTTGAAATAAAATCAAGTTAGCTGTCCTATAAAATTTTTTTTATAGTACCTGTTTTTCCCATGTAAAAGGAAGCAAAGAGAGCTATGCCTGCATAAATATGTCCCTCAGATCATCTTTTGGATGTAATTAAGTCAATTTATAAGTTACTTTGCCCCTTCTCCCACAGGCACCTAACCTAGTAAAAAACACTGAAATATATTTATAAATATACAGCCACAAAAGTACCAACTTGTTGGCACCAGTGAACATAGATGGGTAAAGAAACGATATTTCTGTAATGACACCTCTTCCTCCAGTGTCTTACAAAGACAAAGGTATGTAAAACCAGCGCGTGACGGGACTTCAGATTTTTTAATTCAGGAATAAAATAACTTGTGGTCTCTGACAAATAGCTGAGCAAGGGAAAAGTCGGATACAACCTAGTATATAAAGTTGCCATTCAAAGAGTTTTCAAGGATACAAAACATCCATACTGCCTCTTAAATTATTCCAAGAAGCATTCTCAGTAGATTTAAAGGATCTCTTTAACTTCAAGGACTCTCTAATGTGTCAAGCTCAACCTGTGCTTCACTCATTTATGACTGTCCTGCAATGTAGTGACCAAAGAAAAAATTAACTCCTCATCATTCAGAAATATATTCTGCCCTAAAAGATGTATATGTCATCTTTAAAAGTCATCGACATATAATTTCCTGATCCTAAAAGAACACTGAAATTTACTGTAATTACCAAGCAAGGGCATAAAGAAGTTGACTTGTCTCAGGCTAACACTCCTAAGAAAGAAGATATAAGAATATGCCAAAGAGTACAGGAATACTAACAGGGCTGAGGAGATTAGATTGTCACCAAACCAAAAATCACTGCTACAAGTTCCCTAGTACAGGAATTACATTTCATTCATTACTGTTTCCAGTGCCTGGCACCAGTCTGCTACATAGTAAGTGTTCAATAAATGTTTAAATAATATTCTTGAGGAATAAAATGTATGCTGGCAAAGGGGTGGGAGAGTGTGGCATCTTATTGCTAAATACAGTGTATATGGCGATGGGAAATTATCTTCCTCTTTCAATTGCTGACAACAGAAATAATCACTACAGCAAAAGGAAACAAAATTTAAAAGGCAAATAGAAAAAGCAATACAATGGATGGTTTATAGAACTCTACCTTCAGAGTTCTCTTCACAGAATCAAGACAGATGCACAGGTAAAATTACAGCTACAGAGAAGCAAGAAATTATCTATCTAGTTTGACTATGCAATTTTGTAGATTAAGGGAAAAAAACCCACAAAATATTTAAACTTACTTGTTAGCAAGTCATATCTAGAAGTTCTATTTCTATACTCCTATGAAGTGGGAACAAATTCCTAGATAGCTGGTAGAGAAAAGTCATATAACATCTCTAGAGTTGGTCCACAAGAATGATATCATAAAAATAAGCTATTTGAAACATATGAACAAGGCTTAAACAATATCTTACTCTACCCCATCAATTTAAGCTTGAGTCAGGATGTGGGAACAGACTACCAGCACTGAAACATCCAGACTGTCTCTAAACCAAGAACTTGCAGATACTCTAATTGAGGGATTTATCAGTCATCCCCAGCTTCCTGGAAGTTCATGAATTCAAATGATCCTAATCTCATCACAGATGGAGAATAAATTCACTAAAGTAAAAAACAGCTCCAACAGTCCTCAAAGGGCAGCTTTCAACACTTAGAAAGAAGATCTGAAAAAAATTTTTTAGCCAAAGGTCAATAGCAGGCCTTTCGCCAACTGAAGAGGTTTTCACTGTTGTCTGAGTCTTATATAATATTAAGATCTAAGAGAGGAGAAATATAAAATTAAAGAGAGATTGTCAAGATCCTGCAACAAACAAAAATGTAGAAATTCTATAAGGTATCGAGTGATGCTTACTAATTATATATTACTGTCTATAATTATTTAAAATATAGAATAAAATTTGAGTAAGAAGCACTGGGCACTGTGAATAATTTCACTGGACTTGACTTAAAAATCCTTACAGTCACTAACCAAGGAACTATGAGATTTGGAAAATTAAGAAAGTATATCACTTCCTGATAAATAGTTTCAAATTAATTTCCTAACAGACATATGTATATTTTACCTTAAAATACCAAAAACCTCCCAAAGTATAAACTACAAAACTCTTTAAAACAGTCTTAAGATACCAAGGTTTGAGTGGAATCTTTTAACACTATTATATTGATTTTTCTCAATTGCCTGAAATATATTTTTTAGGACACAAATCATTTTATGAGCCAGCAGGTGGCTTCAATCTCATACTAAGCAAGTTCCTTAGGAAGTTTTTGTCATTACACAAATAGAAATTTAAATAACTCAGTTCCAATAAAAATTTCCCTTATGAATACATCATGTTTTTCAAGCTGGATTATTATTTTCTAACATTACATTTTATTAATTTCATTTTCAACTAGAATTCAAAAGGAAAAGACTTGGATTGACATCACAAAATGCAGTATGTATCAATATCAAAGCTATTGTGATTTTGTTCTAACCTGGCAAGAATCTTTTGAAGATACAGACCACAATGCCCACCCCATCCGGTCCAAACCATACCCACATAAAAGAAAAAGCAAGGAGAAATAAAGAAATAGGACTAGTTTAAAAACTCTGTCCCAGTGTGTTGAACTGACCAGTCTTCCTTATCAAGGTTTTCTCACCCCAAAAATCAAAAGCAGGAAAAGACACACACAAACTTAATTATTAATCAATTACCAGAGGCCCAATCTGCTACTTCTTAGGGGCTTACTATGTGTCTACTGCTTTATTACATAATATTGTAGTGATCTACCAGATATTCATGATATTGCTTAGTGGAAAACAAAACCATGAGGAGCATAATTAGTAAATATATAAAATATAAATAGATGAGTGTGTTTGTATGTGACAGAGAAAGACAGACTTAAGGAGAGGCTTCTTTTCTTCCTCTTCCCATACTAAGTTCATAGCCATATTTTGCCACTATCAGTAAGTATTTGAACGCAAGTCAGTCTTTTATTCATTCCTTAAATGCTCCTTAATTTTTGTTGGGTAGTGAGGGTTAGTGCGGACATTTGAAATCTCATCATGATTTGGGGGTTAAAGTACACTCTAAAATAGAGCCACCTGTGATACACTGCAATGAGAGACCCCCACTCAGACTGAGTACGCTGTTTCTCCTCAAGGTGTAAATGTAGAACAAAATACTGCAATGTTTAGAATCACTCATATCATAATATAAAATATGTAATAAGAAACTGAAATAATTCACATTGATTAAGGAAATATCATGAGTTCACATTAAAATGGCAGATACCCAAAGGTCCAGGTAAACAAAACTTAAAGAAATATTAAAGGTGCACACAGATGTAGAAGGTTACAAATATGGTAAATTAATCCTATCATCAACATAATTCATCAGATTTGAGGAGACTGAAGACAAGAAAGAAGCAAATTACAAATCCCTGTCTACTACTTTGGGAGCAAGGGGTCTCAGGTCAAGGGAAGACTCAACTGCTCCCTGAGTTCAGGGGAACTAGGGCAGTACTGGCACATACCAAGCATTCAGTGCAAGTCTGATGGACAAATGGATAGATCAAACCATTTCTGTCCTTATGGAACTAATGGTGTATTCCTCTGAAATATAAACATCGACAAACCAGACAGTAAGTCTAACACAGAAAGGCAGCACTGATGTTATTTTTTAGGCATTACACTATTGTTGGCGTAAGAAATCATATAACACTTTGAGCACACATTAATACACATTCTTAAAATGGCAACATATGTAAGTGTTCGCAATTTAAGTAAACTAAAATACAACAGCGCATTCATGTTAACAAAATTAATATCCAATCAGGTAAGGTGAAATACAAATATACACTAAGGCTAACAAATGCAGCAGCAGAAAATACTCCATAAGTAATTCAAAGTATTTTTCAATGAGTTGTAATTTATGTCTTAAGAGAAGGACAAATGACAAAGAAACAAACTGTACAGGGACTTAGTAAACACTTAGCAATAAATAGTTTTCAGAACATGACCTGGAATGATAAAAGTTCGCCTCAATTTCTAATACTGCCAACATCTATATCTATAGGGAACACAAACATATATGATCGTAATATGATTCTAACACAATAAAATCACAAATTATATAAAAAGGCTAGGTTTATGTTCAGTGTGATATATATATATATAGTTTACATATATATTTTTTTGAGAAAAAGTTTCAAATAGTAAGGTTATGGCAAATGCTTAATCAAATGATTTTATTATTAGATTAACCATTTAAAAATTTTATAAATTATTAATACTCTGCCTTATGAGTATTAAAATATTAGAATGACCATATGACTTTATTTTTGGGTAAATTTATTAAATCTACCTGACTAATAAAATATTAATCAAAATATTAACTTTAAGCTGTAAGCTCCACGAAGGTACCCACTACATCCCTCTGTTCACTACTTTGCCCCAGTGTAAGAATACAATGCAGTACATGGCAAACT